GAATTTTTTTTTTTATATTGGATAAATCAATTTCTTTTATTTTTTCTAAACAAATTAATAATTTTTTTCTTATTAAATCTTATTAGTTGAACAATTTAGAGTTTATTTATATTTGTTAGTTGTGTTTTTTTCAATTTTTTCTTGTATAGTTTCTTAGTAGTTAGTATGAAAAGTCAACCAACTGATGATTACATTAAATAGTTGGTAAGTATTATCAATACTTTAAAATATTTTATCTTTGTGACTTCTAATTTATATTTCACTTTTATGTAGACTTGAAAATTTGAAGCAAATGAATTATTGACATGAATATCGAAATTTTATTAGTAATATTTACTTTTTGGTATTTGTATTTGACAACTTATTATTTATATGTTATTAAATTAGATTACGTTAATTTGTAGGAGTTAAGATTGAACTTGGTATTTGTATCTACTTTTTGTTATTAATATTAATATCCACTTTCAGGTGTATTTATGTAGTATTATTTTAAATGTTAAAAAATTTAATTATAGTACGGAACCGAACGGAACCGAACCGAACCGAACGGAACCGAAACCGAACGGTTCCAAAATTATATTTGGAACCGACGGTTCCATTTACTAAATACCCGAAAATTTCTGGAACCGAAAAAAACCGAACCGAACCGAACCGAACCGAACCGAACCGACCCGCGCCCACCCCTACTTATAAGAAACCTATTTTTTCATGAAGACAATGAATCTTTTTTTCGAAGGATCAAAAAAAAAAGGGGGTCCGGATCTCCTGCGGGAATAATTTAGAAGATCCACAACCAAAAAGAGTGCTAGTGGTTCCAAAATAAATAATTTTCTATTGATCGAAATTAAAATGAATTACTTATTTCATAAAATTAATTTTTTTATAAATATATAATATTTTACTTAAATTAACTGTTTCAATCATATTCGAAAACATTTTTTTTTTTAATTGTAGCCCAAACATTTTCTTTGTACCATTTTTTAATACGAGGCATACGAATTAATTGTTGGATTAAGCTGCAAGTACAGGTCGGTTCTTTCACAGGGGCCTATAAGGCCCCTCACTATAGCGGCGGACCCCACCCAATGTATTAAAAAAAAAATATTTTGACTCTCCCCCTATGTGTCTCACCTGGCAGGAGCCTGTGAAATGGCTCCTGTACTCCAATCACTGCTCTTAATTGTTTTTCCATGACATTTAGACCCATGGGTGTTATTTGTTAATAAACTAGTTTTATAAGTGGGTAGTAGATGTGAATATTTGGTTAACATTAAAATTTGATAAAAAATAAATTAAAAGTAACTTATAATATTTATATGATTGACAAAATATTCTACTATCCATTTATTTTCCTTATTCAAGTTAATTGAGCATTCAAAGTTTCAAATCGTTATATTTTTCAAATGACGTTAATACTTTAACTCTATATAAACCATATTTGAAACAACAAATGAAATAATATTATTTTGAATCCACTTTTATTGAAATATCTCATAGGATTTTTAGAAAATCATTCTTAAATATAAGAAAAAATTGTATCATGACAAAGGGGACAAGGCTTTTATTATTCTCTTATATTTTTAAATTTTTTTTTTTTTTCATTTCGTCAAGGTCAATTAATGATGGCAGCATTAACACCTTACCTTGTCTACAAAAATAGGGATTGGTGTCCAATCATGCTATAAGTACATTATTTTTGACATCAGATTTGACATTGTGCCACATGTTGCAATACGATTGGCCAATTTAAAAATACAATGCACTTTCCCGGCACTCCATTTTTGAATTTGCAAAGGAGTGTCAAACTCCATGTACACAAAGAGTGTACAAGGAGCATAATTCATTGGTGTCACACGTAAACCCACTTCACTAAGTTTATAACTAGTTTTATTCTTTTTGCAATAATGGAGAGTTGAAAAGAAATTGAAATCGTTGAATGATCGATCACGTGGAGTTTAAACGAACACTACATATGCCTTATTTCTTAAAAAATTTATTATATGTTCATATAGAGTAGTTGTTTATTGCCAAAAATAAAATGTTTAGTATTTTTTTTTATTAGGATACTATTTTGTCTTCTGATTGAAGAACTTGAAATGAACCGTGTTAATTACTTTTTCGTAGAATTGTTAATATGATATTTGTATTATATAATTGTCAATGAGTGAGAAAATTTGTATAAGAGTATTTTAAGCGAAGTACGGCCTATGAAAGTATGTGTTATTCAAAAACTTAAAATAAGGGAAGTTTGTGTAATTTTTAAAAAGGGAGGGGGTGTCTATAAATTGTTATAAATCTCAAGAAATTTATGCCTTATTTGAAAATTTGTAATAAGTAAAATTTGTGTATTTTTTATAAAATGAGGAATATTTCTAAAATTATCATAAACATAAGGAAAGATCTTCATAATTTGTCCAAATCTTAAGAATAATTATGAGTGTACAATAGTTTTCTTCACAGAATTTTTACATATGCTGCTGGCAGCATCTACGTTGTTCATTTTATTTTATTTTTGTCATCTTTCAACTACAAACTGCCACATACCTCCTGTATAAATTTTGTGAACCAAATTCGATAAGTTCAGTAAGGTTCAAATCTTAAATGAGTTGCGAATTAGAAAAGAAGTGATTTTTTTTTTTATCTTTGTTTTTTTTTAAACTACGTACCAAGACATGTACCCACGGTATTCTAACTCGAAAAGCAATCTATACATGATTGAAGTTATTATTGTCGTACAAATGGATAATCATAACCAGCATGATCAGTGTTTGTTGTCTTGGTCGTGTATCTCTTGATTTTTGTTGGTTGTGGGACCCCAATTTGAAATTTGTCGGTCAATTATTATAAAAAGGTTGAGCCCTGCCTTGCTCCTAGAGCATTGTGGATGAGGTAAATCGAGAGATGTGCTTCAACAAGTAAGGGTACAAGAGCTGCCATATTGGTGCCCACAAAGAGTTCAATTTCATACCTTGTAAGAGGCATGAATCGAACCCTCACACTGCGGCTGCCAGCTCAACTGAGACTACCCAACTCCCGTCCTTTGCATCACTGAACTATGTCCTGGAGGGTTTGTCAGTCAATTATTGCTTGCTTATACGTGGGTGTTTGGTGGAAATTAAAATTAGATTTTAATCCGAAACAAACATGAGTTAACATGAAATGATTAAATTACTCGTACACACAAAGTGTATACCTTGATTGACATCTTCTATGTGTAAAAAATCTGAAAGTTGATTTGAGAGATATTGTCAAGATCAATATATCAAAATCTGCCAACTCAAACCTTTATTTACATGTAATATGGCCCTTCATGAAATATCAAATATGTAGTGAAAAAGTGGATAGAAATTGAAGCTAGTTCAACGATATATATGGTGAAAAATAAAGTTTGATCAATATATTAGCTAACAAAAATTTTAATTGATAAAAAAAATAGGCTTTATGACCTGGGGTAAATTTGGAAGTGGGTATTAAAATGGGATCGGTTCATTATAATTTTCATTTGTTGTTATCATATATTAGTTTCATTCCAACTTTGCCTATAACAAAAACAAAAATCTTTGTGAAAAGCAATTTTCATTTAAGACTTTAAGACGATGTATTTCAACATTCAAGGACGCCTTGTAATCACATCAACTACCTCGCCTTTTGTTATATCTAGTTGTACTGTGATTGTACAGGGATTGAGCCCTCTCTCATTGTCGAAGAGTATCCACCGAATTGCACACAGTGAGTAGGATGAAGAAACACATAAAATATTGGACCACGATACAAGTACATAATATATTACATAATTGACATGTGGCGCGCATTCATTGGTAGTTTACAATTTTTGACTTTTCCAAACTTAACATACACGACTGGATTTCTTCCACATGAGAGTAAGTAATCTATTATGTACATTAATTATGTACATATAGAACTTTTCCACACTTCACATCCATGATCGGATTTCTTTCACAATGGTCTATGTAATCCATTATGTACAATGATTATGTACATATAGATTTATCCTAAAATATTTGTCTTTTATCATTTGTAGACATATCTCATTTGTTTGAGGATGAAAACAAATGTAAATTTATCGAAAATAATCTGTCCTTTTGTGCGTGAAGTAAAATTTTTAACTTGTCAAACATACTCTTTATTGAAAAAAGTAACTTAAAGGTAGTGTTCTAAGAAATGCGCCTAGATGACAGCAGCAGGTAAAACGCTTTGACTAACAGTAAGTACAAATTAAGCGGTCAACTGTTAAGTTAATCGTTTGCTCACGCTTAGGCGCACTTTATTAATTCTTTTTCTCTCCTTTTTTTTAAAATATTTTATTTGACTATAGTTTATTAACATTTTCATCATTTTTATTTTTTTAAAAGACTTTTACTTTAGTTTCAAAATTTAAATGACTTTATCTATACAAAATTCAAAAATGACTTTATTCGATAAAGATTTAGATAAGATTTAATTTACGATGCTATCTGTATTATGTAATTAAGATTTTGAAACTTATCGTTTTGTTGAAAACTTCAAAAGAATGTATGAATTTTATATAAATTTGTTAAGTAGGACTTGTTTAATTGAAAGTTGAAATTATGAAAAATGAATATGGTGTTTTATAATTTTAGATATTCGGTACGTGCTATTCTAATTATTAAATAATTTTTAGAAATGTGTATTTAAATTAATAATAAAATTAAGTAACTCTTTTTTTACTCCCATACTCGTAAAGTTTCGAACTTGATTTCTATGCCTAATAACACGTTATGCTTTTTAGAAGACCAAATAAAGTAAATATATATTTTGATTTTGAATTATAATTAAACATGCTCTAGTGACACTTTAAAACACCCTAATCTTTACTTTTTTAAGCCATAACGCTTTCCTCATTAAAGTCCAATATTTTAGCTGTCCACCTAAACCCTTCTCACTTCATCTTCACCTCATATCTATCTCCTCCAAAACTTAACTTCCCACACACCCCGCCGTAGTTTTCACACAGTTCAATGGAAACCCCAGAATTCTTCCAGGGAGGTTACTATACCAACCAATTCACGCCTGAAAAACCATTTTTCGATTCGAAAAATGACGACCATTTCGTCGTTGAAGATCTCCTAGACTTCCCGAATGACGATGGAATGATGGCGGACTTGGAGGCTGCTTTTGACGCCACTACCATGGCCGGAACCTCTACCGACTCTTCCACTGTCTCCAGAACCAATATTGAGCCACATTTCGCCAGAGATATTGGTTGCCGGAGTTTCGCCGACGGCCAGTTCTCTAGTGAACTTTGCGTGCCGGTAAATTAATTTATATTCGTGCAGCAATTAATTAAAATAATATTTACATGCATTGTATAATGTAAAATTTGTCTTTTTGACAAAATTTAAATAAATAAATTTATTCGTTCTTTAAAATCTTAATCTTTTAATGAGATTGTGCAAATGTCCAAGTAAAGAAAGAATCTTAAATATCCATTTTCTACCGCTAATGGTTAAAATCTTTAAATTATTTGGACAGTTTCAATACTTTTGATTTGCTCTAGAAATAATTTTCCTTTCTTTCACCATTTTATAGATACGAATTGCCATTTTTATATTTGTATTTACAGTATGAAGATTTGGCTGAGTTGGAGTGGCTATCTAATTTTGGAGAGGAGTCGTTTTCAAGTGAGGACTTGCAGAAGTTACAGTTGATACAAGGAATGCAACCCCGGCCCGGTGAACCTTCAGAACCTCACCAACACCAATTCCAGCCTAAAACCACCCGTAACGCCACCATGTTGCGGCCCGAACTGTCAATCCCGGCGAAGGCTCGTAGCAAGCGCTCACGGGGTGCCCCTGCAAATTGGGCATCCCGCCTTTCGGCCATGTCCCCAACACCATCGGCAATGTCATCGTCCCTGAACTCGGACAAAGTAAAGGTGAAGTTCCCAACCAATAAAAAGGAAGTTTCCAACAATGCAGCCACTGCGGACTGCAGTGGGAGCCGAAAGTGCCTCCATTGCGCAACGGACAAGACGCCGCAATGGAGGACCGGTCCAATGGGGCCAAAGACACTATGCAATGCATGTGGAGTGAGGTACAAGTCGGGCCGTCTTGTCCCAGAGTACAGGCCTGCAGCAAGCCCGACATTTGTACTGACGAAGCATTCCAATTCGCACCGCAAGGTTTTAGAGCTGCGAAGACAGAAAGAGCTACAAGAATTCCAGTTTCTCCATCAAAACATGATGTTTGATGCATCTGATGGTGGTGATTACTTGATTAATCAACTTGGCCCAATATCAGACAACTGATTTAGTGCACCTCTAAGCGTGATTAAAAGTTACTTTTCTAAAAAGAAAAAAAAGTAAGTTTTAATTCATTGAATTTGTACGATGTAATTTCCTTTCAAATCTGTTATGAATTCTTGAACCAATTACTGAGCAAATTTTTTTTTCCCCATCGTTTTGTGCTACCTTGGATAATATCCAATTGGGGTTTGTTCCCATATCGTTATGCACAGAATTCAATTCTGCCACCCATTCTTGGCTCTAGGGAAATAGATAATAAAATATGAAGGGTTGGAAATATACACTAAATTTTGTCAATTTCTCAAAACATCTCGAAGATTTGGCAAATAATTTATTGAATTTGCTACACTAATCAAATCACCATTAAATTTTAATTTTCATATAATACCAAGATCGAATTTTATACGAAATGATCCAGTTTGAGCAGTCCGTGTAACAAAAATATGACATATTTGATAAGGTAAATTATATAATACCATCGATTAAATTGATGTACGATTCAATAAAATGTAACACTGCATATGACCCCTGTTTGATTTGAATTAAAATTTCAAGTCAAAGTTAACAATTAATTTTAACCACACATTTTGTGATACCCACAATTTTTCAACCACACATTTCATCAATTTTTATCAAAACCTACTAAAAATTTGATTTTAATCTCTATTAAACAGAGGCCAAATATATCATGTTAAAAATATAAATACAAATAAATAACTATTTGTTTCTCTGATATCATGATATCAAAGCACCTATTGTCATGAATTCATGTTTCGTTGAATTTCAATTATAAAAACTCTACAATAAGGTATTTTACGAAGAAATCATTCAGACATGCACGATCGGGACGTGTTGGAGATACAAATTAAAATAGAAAATAAATTATTTTCCTCCTAGTCATTTAGCCCTTGTTTTAGTTCCATTTTTGCCATTAAAATACATTTTTGAACAGTGATTTAGCCCCCGTTTGACACCCATTTTTTTACCTCATTCTCATTCTCATTTTTCTACAGTACTCATTTCTAACCACACATTCTCCAAATAAAATAATATTACACATAAACCCAAAAATTTTTCTTACTTTTTAACCACACATTCTTTACATCAATCACTATTTAAAAACCCATTCTTCAAAAGAATGGGTGCCAAACAAGCTTTTAATCCATTTCAACAACGCATTCTCCAATAAAATAATATTACNAGACAACTGATTTAGTGCACCTCTAAGCGTGATTAAAAGTTACTTTTCTAAAAAGAAAAAAAAGTAAGTTTTAATTCATTGAATTTGTACGATGTAATTTCCTTTCAAATCTGTTATGAATTCTTGAACCAATTACTGAGCAAATTTTTTTTTCCCCATCGTTTTGTGCTACCTTGGATAATATCCAATTGGGGTTTGTTCCCATATCGTTATGCACAGAATTCAATTCTGCCACCCATTCTTGGCTCTAGGGAAATAGATAATAAAATATGAAGGGTTGGAAATATACACTAAATTTTGTCAATTTCTCAAAACATCTCGAAGATTTGGCAAATAATTTATTGAATTTGCTACACTAATCAAATCACGATTAAATTTTAATTTTCATATAATACCAAGATCGAATTTTATACGAAATGATCCAGTTTGAGCAGTCCGTGTAACAAAAATATGACATATTTGATAAGGTAAATTATATAATACCATCGATTAAATTGATGTACGATTCAATAAAATGTAACACTGCATATGACCCCTGTTTGATTTGAATTAAAATTTCAAGTCAAAGTTAACAATTAATTTTAACCACTCATTTTGTGATACCCATAATTTTTCAACCATATATTTCATCAATTTTTATCAAAATCTACTAAAATTTTGATTTTAATCTCTATCAAACACATGCCAAATACATCATGTTAAAAATATAAATACAAATAAATAACTATTCGTTTCTCTAATAACATGATATCAAAGCACCTATTGTCATGAATTCATGTTTCGTTGAATTTCAATTATAAAAACTCTACAATAAGGTATTTTACGAAGAAATCATTCAGACATGCACGATCGGGACGTGTTGGAGATACAAATTAAAATAGAAAATAAATTATTTTCCTCCTAGTCATTTAGCCCTTGTTTTAGTTCCATTTTTGCCATTAGAATACATTCTTGAACAATGATTTAATCCATTTCAACAACGCATTCTCCAATAAAATAATATTACACGCAAATTCAAATTTTTTTTCTTATTTTTTAACTACATGTTCTCTATCATAACACTATTGCAAATGTCACGAGTTTGAATCCCCTGCCAAGACTTCCTTGGTTGAGCCCGTCGCACCAGGCTTACCTGGTGCGCACTTACAGTGTTCGGGTCTCCGCCTCTTCTGGGTGGTCGAGGCTACGCTGGTGGGTAGCGGCTGTGGGTTCCTCCTTCAAAAAAAAAAAAAAAAAAAAAATTCATTTTTTTTTTAAAAATTGGGCTCAAACAAATTCAAACTTTTAAGCGAGATGATTCAATATGTGGAACCTTTTCGAGAGAGACCGAGTAAATACCCTATACGTTTGGAAGTGTTTACAAATGATTTAAATTATAAATAGATATAAATAAATTATGGATAAGTGAATACTACTTGTAGATTTCTCGAAAAATGTGAATAAAAAGTTATTTGAATATTTATAAACTGTTTATAACTCGGTTGAAACATATATCGAGAGATCAAATTTACGTGCAATGAAAACATTCGTTTAATTCACTCATTTTCATGACTTATGAGTATTACTTTATCAATCGTATTAACTTTTGTATTGCCTAAACAAAAAATTAACATTTAAGGAGTATTAGTAAACGCAATTATTCAATTAGAAACTTACATTAATTAAAAGCTATTATAGTTTTGAAGATGCCATTAGCTTTGTACTGTATGGGCGATCCAAGGCAGCACTGATCCAAAGGACAGTACTTTAATATTTAATTAAATAGTTAATTGTGTTGTAATAAGTTAAAGTAGCAGTAATAATAATAATAATTTAATTTATAGTGCAGCATTTTAACAGTAATCACATGCCTATGATGCCACCACTCTTTTTTATCACAAGTCTTTGTATAAACTCATTTTTAAATAAGTATTATAACATTATTAATTAAATCATCAGTCTTTGCTTAAATAGGACCATGTAGATATACAATAAAATGAGAATTTTTATTCATTCAATTTCTTGATTTATTTATATGGTTATTTGGATTTTATATAAGCCTTGTTTGTTGGGGATTAAAATAAAAAATTTAGTAAATTTTGATAAAAATTGATGAAATATATGATTAAAAAGTTATATGTCATGTGAAATATGTCCTTAAAAATTAATTATTGACTTTGACTAAGTTTAAAATTTTAATTTTCACCAAATATCGGCTAAATCTTATTCACTGTACAACGGAGAAAGAGCGAAAATTTAAAGTGGGAAAAATCATTTAGTTAATCGTACAATGGAGAAAGGGGCAGAAAATTGTGAAATGCTAAGTGTCAGTTATCTTTGCTGTTTTAAGATAATTTTCAGTTTTCGAAAATAATTTTTTTTTTTGATAACCGTGGATGTCCGGTCAGTTTGCGCGCATCTCGACTAATTTCACGGGGCCTTGAAGTTTACGACCGGGTACTCACCTCAGTGGCCCTGAGGGGACTCAAACTGGTGACCATTGGGAACCTAACCAATTAAGCAACCCCTCAGGATTAGTTTTCGAAAATACTGAAAACACGTTTACTTACCTATTTTCAAAAACGAATTTCCCAAAACGAGTTTAAAATTTAGTAATTTACAAAGAAAACGAAAAAACCCAAAAAAATCGTTTTAGCTGTTTTTAGTTAAAACCAAGCAAAAATTTCTTTCATTTTTATTTTTATTTTTGAAAATAATTTTTCAAAATGACAAAAAAAAACGCATTTTCAACAATCTCGAAATAAACATTCAAAAAACAAAACCCAAAATGAATTCAAAACTCAAAACTAAATACTGAAACACGAAGAAAACAACCCCTAAATTACTTGAAAACGGCAAGTCCATGACAAACAAGCTTTAAATAATTAAAAGGATCTGATGAATGCAGAAAATGAAGCTGTGATTTCTAACATTTTCAACGGTCATACTGGTTGGTAGCTAGTTCGAGAGGATAATCTGTCACACGATCCATGCTCTAAAGGGGTAGCTGAAATATAAACTATTTCATTGATTTTTGCAGTAAATATGCTCAATTACTGAATTAGTACTGCAAGATTATTCATGAAAATAAGCAAGAACTGAAATCTCTCTATTTAAGATGACAACAAAGGAATACCAATCCAAGGTTTTCATCCATGTAAGTTTTACAAAATTGTGACGTTTATTTCATTTCGATCAACGGGAAAATCACATAAATCAAACGGGATGTCCTATATCGTTGATCAAATCACTTCGTCCATCTTCAACAATTAGTCTCTCATCGCGGCACGCAGAGACCTAGTTCTGAGCAAACCAGAGAAACCATAAGCGATGATGACACCAATAAGGTTATAGAACTCTAATGCGACGTGCAAAAGCTGCAGTCGTAGACATGTGACAAATAGACAAATCAGGTAGTAGGCTGGTAGCATAACAATCTTTTTTCCAGGAGTAGCTAAAGAATGCGAGAACAAAAAAAAAAAACGGGTGATATTTACAACATGACTGACCAGTGGCTGCAACAAAAACATACATTCACAAAAATAGAGCTCACAAATTGTCGACATGTACACAAGAATGTTCTGTCTTACTTTTAAGTTATATTTATTTAGAAACTTTTCGCTTCTAAACATGTTTCGACGTGTTACTTTTTGTTACTAAACAGGAAAAGAAAGTTATTTTGACGGTGAGGTAGAACTGAAAAGTTACTCTTAAAACAAGTAACTTATTTCTAACTTTAACAAACAAAAGATTATTTATTCAAGCAAACCTATTTACATATAATTAAAATTTTAAATTAGCCAAACATGCACAAAATTCAACT